AGCCCACCCTTTAATCCTGAGGTTCATCTGCCGGGGCCAAGCACGCTTGGACGGTGGCAGTGAGGTCCTCAGGACGTAGATGGATTGCCTTACAGGGCTAACGAGCTCCATCTGCCCGGGGAGTGTCCTAACCGGGAATCGAACCCAGATCTCAGCGTTGACAACGCTGTGGTTTAGCCACTGCACCACCACACCTGAGCTGAAGATCATTCCTGAATCCATCTTTTGGAGTGTTTGCCACAGGAGCTGCCAGATCTCAACAGAGACGGTCAAGCAACTCATGGTTCCGTCTGTACAGTCAGTGTGGAAGAGCAACAGCCTGAAAGTACCTTTTCCTGCATTTCCCTTAGGAGTGCCCTGGTCAGAAGCTGTTATGGCAACATGTGCTTCCCTGTCCTGAGCAGGAAGGGATTGGCTGTCATATTGATCTGTTCCAGCACCAGCTAGAGAAGAAAAGCTGGCTCCATCCACACGGCAAATCACTGTGTACTTTTCACATAAATACACAGTATTAGCAATACTTTCCAAGAATAGCCTGGTTATCTGTGTAATGGCAGTGAGCTCTGAATGCCCAGGAACTGCCACCTCCTTAAAAGCTTGGGCATGACCTACAAAGAAAAGTGAATGCCACTTCAGGCACCTATCTCAGTGACTGATTCCATCTAAAATGGTATCTTAGGTAGCAGTTAAAGACAATTCACACCTACTGGCAGCTACCTGCCGCTTTGTCATTTTGCAGAAGGAGCCATGGAGATGTGATACAATCAGGTGGTGGTGAGGCTCTAGATTAGATTACTGGGAAAATCTCCTGGAAATTGCCAAAGAACGAAATTAAATTACAGTGATGGGCAACCAAGTTCCATCTCTGATAAACAGTTGAGATTTTGTATGTTGTTTCACAAGAACAGAGCTGTTATTTGATTCACTTATTTCTGTGTCTAAATAAATGGGACCTACGGAAAAAGAAAATACAGAGGGGGCTATTTTTACAAATCGAGTAAGCAGCGGGTTAAACTGCAGTGACACATACACATATCCACACTTACAACAACAATCACTTGCTCACGTACTATCAGCAACAGAGACATTCTGTATATGGTAGCATCAGCCCCTCAGGAAACTACTAAGCCTCAGGGTTTTATAGGGCACATCTGGAAATGATGGGTTTTGACTATTTAAAGTACATATATAGATATGAACATTGTTCTGTGTAGCCTGGTAAGGGGGTCATTTGGGGAGATGATTAACACTCAACATGCTGTGCTCTTTCATATAAGCTGATGGGAATAAAGCTTTATTGTTATTCCTCTATGAAACAAGAGGAATGACAAAGCCACACAAAAAATAGACAAATGGTTTTGATTGCTGCCCAAGTTCACCAGCGCTGGTGGAAATGCTTTCACATTCGCCCCACTTCACTGGGGCAGAGACAAGCACTAACACAAGTGTGTCATGAAACAACATCGATTTGTCCTCAGATTTCAGCAGAAGGATACTCACCACAATAATGCTCTCCTGGTCTTGAGTGGTTAAGTTGTTGTTCTGGAAGAGTTGAACAGAAAACAACAAATGAGAAAAGAGTACTCTGAGCTGGCACATCAGCACACACAGTTCTCAGCTACCACAGACACAAACAGAAAGGTTCAAGACTGAAATTGTTTATTTTCTGAATAAAAATCATTGAATAAAAATCATTCTCCTAAAGAAGGCGGTAAACTGACTGCTATGAGGGGTGGTGCAAGCTTCCATTCCTGCCTCATCACGTGGAGAGCCAAGTCACCCCAGCCACCAAAGCTGAGCATACAATCACCAGGATGCCCAAGGAGGTCTAAATCAGCTATCTCAAACAGAACTAGTAATAATAAAATAGTTGCATGATTAATTTATCGGTGTGTATGTAAGAATTACTGGTTATGGGAGCAAAGCCAACGGAATAGAAGTCAAAGGGAGTTTTACACTTGCTTGAAATAAGGCATGAATCAGACCCATAATAAATTTACCATAAATATTAAACCAAACAATTAAACAAACAAAAAAACCCAAAGCAACAAACTCAAGAGAAATGTGGTTTGTCTTGGTTTTAGAAATCTAACAGCACAGGTCAAATTTTCCTTCTCCCCAGCAAGTGCAAATTCCACTCAAGTCAGCAGAAGTCACGAGCAGAGTCACGGGCAGAATTCTGATGGCCCAAGTTAAAATAAAACCCACTCACAAACTTTAAACTGTTTGTCTCTCATCTACACGTGACAGTGCCTCGCAGGAGCCCTGCCGAGGCCATACCTCTGAGAGCAGTTTGGAGACAATCTCCAGAGGTGCTTGGTGGATGGAGTCGTCCTGCAGCGGGGACGTCAGCGCCATGTCCACCAGCGTCCGGATCTCCTTCAGCACCACCTCCCAGCGGCTGGGGTTACTGAGCACCTTCTTGTACTTGTAAATCTTCTTC